AATTGCGTTTAATAATTCGTCATTTCTGGATGGATGTGTGGATGTGTTTGTCCGCAGCTTTAAGTCGTATCTCCTCCTCAACGAAGCAATATCGAGGATTAGTTCCAAAGCAAATATGTTAAACAAGTTCCAAGGATGATTGTGGGCCAAAAAAAATCCAGGAATTCCTTCCTGGATTTCCCGGAAAAGCCAAAAAACCTCGAAAACATGCAGTTTTTTGCCCATATCTCGGCCACCCGACCACTTAGCGACTTAAAACATTTACCAATCGATTCCTGCCATAATTTAGAACAATATTGCCGAAGAAATTTTTCAAAAATATCCTTTCGTTCGGTCACAATTTTTTTTTAAAAATTACATAAACACCTACAAACCGATCGTTCTCCTAGCTCGAACGCATCCCAGCAAATTTATTTTTAGATAGCATAAGGAAATTGCGCTTAAATTGTCACTAGACTTTTTATTAACTTGTTTTAATTAATTTCCGGTGTCAAAGGGGCAAATAAAACAATAATGTAGAATATATTGAAAGAAAACTTATCAGGATAAATATTTTGACTGCTTTAATTATTCGAATACATTAACAGTGTTAAAATTTCATAAAGATGTAGGATATAGCAGTTTTTAATATCGTTCAAATCAGATAAAATTAACTAAATATTTTTTGCATTTATATTAATTGGTTTTAAAAATTGTTTTTTTAAATAATCCATATGACCAGTGCCCTTACACAAAGAGCGAACATTTATAGTAAGCACGTTAATGATCTCTTTTATTAAGGAGTTTAACGGCTGTAGGCCTATATAAAGTCGGCACCTTCTTGACTTGTATGTTCGTTGAGCACCTTGTATCAACCAAGTCTATGGACAGACGCCTACAAAAGTCATGTTACAAATAGCAAAGAGAAAAATAGGAAAGTTTAATTAAATAAACAGGTTTTCAAAAAAAAAATAATCAAGCCACAAACAGGTTTAGTGTATTACAGTAGCAATCATGTCGCTACATTTGAAAATTGTCCAGCCTCCCCCCCCCCCCATCGCCGGGTTATTTTCCCTTGTGCCCACCGGGACATTTCTTTGGCGGCCATATGTGCTATTTCCTTGTCGGCAGTATTTCATTCAGACTTATTTCTCGGGGTGCGGGGACGACTACATTTTTCACGGAGGTGGGGGGGGGGGGGGGCGAAGAGATGCCTGAAAAAACTCTGCTTGTCGGCCCATACGTGATATTTCATTGGCGGCCCACCGGAATATTTATTTTCCTATAGGCCCACAGGAATATTTTCCTACAGGCCTACTAGGATATTTTACTAGAGGCCCACCGTGATATTTTACTAGAGGCCCACTGGGATATTTTCCTAGAGGCCCACTGGGATATTTTCCTAGAGGCCCACTGGGATATTTTACTAGAGGCCCACTGGGATATTTTACTAGAGGCCCACTGGGATATTTTCCAAGAGGCCCACTGGGATATTTTACTAGAGGCCCACTGGGATATTTTCCAAGAGGCCCACTGGGATATTTTCCTAGAGGCCCACTGGGATATTTTACTAGAGGCCCACTGGGATATTTTCCTAGAGGCCCACCGTGATATTTTCCTAGAGGCCCACTGGGATATTTTACTAGAGGCCCACTGGGATATTTTCCAAGAGGCCCACTGGGATATTTTCCTAGAGGCCCACTGGGATATTTTACTAGAGGCCCACTGGGATATTTTACTAGAGGCCCAATGGGATATTTTCCTATACGCCCACCGAAATATTTTCCTACAGGCCCACCGGAATATTTTCCTAGAGGCCCATTTGTATATTTTCTTGCCGTCCCCGCGGTCCCGTCCACACCTGCTTAGTGTTAAAACCTTGTAACCGTAACGCTTTCGCGTTGGTATACACGCAAAGCTTTGTTTGTGTAATGGACCTGATAAGTAAACGGTTATGCAAAAACTTTTGTAAAAAGAGATTCAATAAATGGATGAAAAGGCATGGCATAAATATCCACAACAGAAAAATGCAAATTAAAAAAAAAGAAAATCCGCGCACAATCTAATTACTGTCATTAATGACTGTTTCCATACCTATTAATTCGACAACGAATACTAAGCTATTGACGAATTATTAACAATTTTACTAAAATAAAATCGTAAACAAGTGCTTTATTAAACTTAATAAAGCAAGGGACGAAGTGGCCTAGCGGTAGAGAGACTCGGCTGTACCTGAGTCCACCCAGCTATGATGGATAGCTAACAACCTAACTCACATTAGAATAAGTAAAGGTTCTGACCAGCATTTTTCCGATCATACGATTATCAATCTGAACACGTTAAAAGTTCCTTTTTCAAACCCTGACGCTAGAGTTCACTTGTTTCTGTGACCTCGGCATATAAAGAGATAGTGTAGTCAACACTATACACTGCCGCCTTTACTTTCCCTGGGTGGACTCAGGGACGGTATACTGGCTTGAACCCGAGACTTACGGGTTAGTAGTCCAGCTCTCTGCCCCTAGACCACTCCGTCCCCGCTGAACACTTTAACCTACCTGTAAACAGCTTAAACATCCCGCCTCATGTCTCGTCAAATGCGAATCACAATGTTGTATATCGGCTATCATAGTTAAGCAATCATTCACATTTAGAAAATATACCTAGGTAAATGAAACAGGATAGGATGGCTAAACAATTATGATAGGCTGCTTGATAAAGATTGCATGTAAATTAAATTGCCTTCAACATAATAAGTATACCTCTTTTTAAATTAACTGGTTTGCTTGTTGCAGTATCTGTACTTTGAAAACGGTTAGCTAGCATTTAATTAAGAACCAAATTCCACGTGAAATTAGCTAACATGATTGTCACAATGTAGTGTGCAAGATAGTGGTTGTTTATTTTACCACTCATGGTTTCGATTGAGCTCAGCTCAGTATGATGGGATTTAGTGACATTTCACATTTATTTTGTAAACTTTAAAAGGATTACGCTGCCTATTCATTCGTTTCAACCAAATAATAACTTCAATCGTGTCAAATTTAACACCAAATACACGTTAAATCCCTGCATTGTGTTGTTAATGCGATAAATTAATTTAAATAGAAGCACACCGCATGATGCGTAATTGATATTTTATTTTATATCTTCTTATATTACTACTCATTTATATTTACTGAGAAGCATTAACCAGAGTCAATATAACGTCTGGATTGTTGGGGGAGGGGGGGGGGGAGGAGCAGAGGGAAGAGGTTAAAAGTTTTTTCCTCTAAACAAAGAGAGGGAGACAAACATGTCAGGGAGATCTTTCTAGAAATAGATCAGGAACGCCTGATTGTCTTTATATATCCACACGATACTCAAAATTTAAATACCGTTTGGATTAAGAACTCGATCTCCACAGTTCAAGCTTGTAGATTATTTGCTAACACAAAAGACTTAGCTTAGTTCAGGTTGGGGGTGGGGGTGGGAGGGGGCATGAGGAGCTTTTCGTTAAAAGGAATTTACAATAACATAAAATTTTCATTGATCGCAACGACACAGCTCGATCTTTTTAACAACAGAATATGTAGCAGTGGATAATGTGTATGCATCATGGCCGATCATACCATATTCTTTTACTAGATATCTCGATGTTGTTCGCATCTGCGGGTACAGAATATTTCAGGTGAATACAACCGCTGGTGTAATAAAATCTGCTGCTTGTCAATGCGGATGTTTACCTGACATATGCTGTCTACTACATCTGACCACGGATATCTTCTATTCACCTGTTGATAACGACTCACCATTGAAACATATTTACGCCTTTTTTTACATTAAGATGGGAGGCGTGGCCTAGCGTTAGAGAGCTAGAATGCTAATCAGAATGTCTCGAATTCGAATGCGGATTTATATCAGTAGAAGTCCTAGAACTTTTGAGTACCTAACTCACGTTAGTAAAAGGCGGCTGGCCATAGTATTGGCCATATTATCACTTTATAGGCCCAAGTCATGTGAAACAGATGAACTCTACTTCATCTGCCACATGTGTCTTTGACACGAACGGGAAACTAAGATGTTTACTTCATGACGATTTTACTTTCTCGTATATACGAAGTATAGAGAAAGTATTGTAATCGTGCAAAAAAATCTCTTGAAATTTTAACAATTTTCACCGTATTACACCTCAGTCCTTCATCAAATCCGAAGTATAGAGGACTTATTTTAATTGGGCAAAAATTATTAATCCAGATGTATCAAAATTAAGAGGTTTTATGCGTAATCCATTCTGAAAACCTGGGCTTTGCAATCCCGTCCGTATGTCTGTGTGTGTGTGTGTCTGTGTGTCTGTGTGTGTGTAAACACGATAACTTGAGTACCGTTACAGCGAGGTTGATGAAATTTCATATATAAGTATTTTATCAAAATCGTAGATCCGTATCAACTTTTGAGCGATTTCCGATAACCAGAAGTGGTACTTTTTCTACTTTGCCTGAATTTTTCAAAAGCCTATAACTTGAGTACTATTTCAGATAGATAAATGAAATTTCACATGTGAGTAAAAGATCTAATTTTCTACTTTCTGTTAAATTTTGAGTAATTTCCGTTGACCGGAAGTAGTAATTTACGCTACTTCCGATTTCTCAAAAAACTAATGTAAATTTTTAAAGTACTAATAATATTGCGCACTATTATGCACTTTTTTTTATTTGGCATTCACTTGGTGTGCAATTCTTTTGTCTACGAGATTTTATTCTATTTTTAAAACTTTAAGTATTTAAAACGGATTAAAAATCATGTCTATAGCCCGAGTTCACATCCCGTGTTGTTTTATATAAGAATATTCGAGAAAGTTTAGGGGAGATCACTCCCGGTTTATTTACACTTAGCTTCTATTTAATCTCTCCCCTGATTAAAAAAGTACTATTTTATACAGAAAACACAGCAAGTCAAGTAAGAAAATTCTACATAATTTTATCATACCTGCAAATAACAAAGTAAAAAAAAATATAACAATATTTGTTCATACAACAATATAATCAAACATACGTAGAACCAGGCGGTGGTGCTATCTCAGTATCTCTACACGTCCGGGCTTTCCTATACTTGTCATACTGCAAGTGTATCACGTGGACACAAACCTGCATTGTCAACTGGACGATTTCTACAGCGGTCAGCACAGAGAACCCCAACCAGAGCCCCAGTTGACCGCCGATGTTGCCTAGGAGACTGTTCCAGTCGAAGGTCGGGGACGATGTAGACACTTCAAAGTTCAAGGTCTCGTAGTAAATCTCCAAACGTAAAAAGTTATTACGTACGTGTGCTTGTGGATACGCCGTCCAATTATATGCTTTATTTCTTATAGTTGGAGTTTGATTGACGAAGTGTATGTAGGTATCTATGTAAGCGCTGGATGGCCATAATGAATTCGATACTGTGGTGTGGTACACAATCTGTTCGCAAGCTGAAGGACACAACTCATCACAACCAAGCTGACCTTTCTGGAACTGTAACACTGTCTTATAGATGCATCGTTCGCTTAACTCATCACAGATCTGGATGGATTTTGTTTGATCTAAGTCCAACCAGTCTTTGTAGTTGAGTACGTTGATAATGTTGACGACATCGGATTCTATACAGCCGCAGGATTTGAAGATTTCCTTTTGTAGACAGGTTCTCATGCATGCGTCTTTGGTGTAGGTGTAGCCGAGTTCTTCATAGAGGTTTTTGATGCTGTTAGTATCAGAACTTTGACTTATGCAGTTTCCGTACGGTGCTGGTAACAAATAACTCTCCGACTGAATTGAAAAGTAAAAAAAAATAATTTGATCAACATTTTAAAAGAAAGTATAATTTTTAAAAACCAAATTGTTAAGTAGTTGTTGTAATCGTATGGGATGACGTGGCCTAAGCGGTAGAGCGGTAAGTTGCTAACCCGAATAGGATCGAGTTGAAATTTGAGTACAAGTCAGGGGAACGTCACTGAGTTCACCCAGCTCTGATGGGTACCTAACTCATGTTAGAGAAAGTAAAAGTGACTGGGCAACGTGCTGACGACTCATATGCCGATGTCAAAGACATAAACTCTACTTCAACTGCCCAATGGATCGCTAGGTCTAAAGAGGATTTTTACGTTACTTAACTTTTATTTTAAACAAAGAGGTTGTACCCTTTAAGGGACATGGGACGATGTGGGCGAAAAATAGAGCGTTAAAATGCGAACCCGAAAGTCGTAAGTTCGATTCCCGGGCTCGATTCCGTGGGACGTCACTGAGTCCACTCAACTCTTACGTGTATGTAACTTTCCCTAGCAACTGCAAAAACAAATGGGCATAATACTGACCACACTATCAGTACGTATGCCGAGATCAGTATAAGAGATGAACTCTTCTTCACCTGACCCATGGACTGTATGCTCAAAAGTGTACTTTCCTTTAATCTACGTCTTTAAGGAACAAAGCACATTAAAATGTCGTGTTTGTTGTTATTGCGTTCAAACATCCGATCAATGAAAATCCTACGTCCACTATTTAGTGAGCCTACCTTGGAACTTTGGATATAACACCATATTTATGTGTCCTTAAGCTTATATTAAGTGAAATTGTGTGAGGCAAAAAATGTTTTAAAAAAATTACTGTTAAAATATACATCTAATAGTGAAAGTATACATTATAAATTTTCAAAAATATATTCCTTACACCATAAGTTTAACAGAGCTAGTTAAACCTTACCTTCCTAATGCCAATACTAGTAACAAAGCCCGGCGCTGCCAGGATGCCACTGTTATCAGGGAAGACGATCTCAGAGCCAGAATGTAACAAGACCTTTATCCCAGCTGATTCGGTCATGGGCAGGTACTCGTCCTGCTCGATGTCCAGTTCGATAATAAGGCCGTTAGCTGGACCTGCTTGTGTTACAGGCCTAATTACATATTTAAATTTAGTTCTATTAGAGTTAAGGCTATATTTTAATGCAATACTTCTTTTAAAAAGACGGTAATTAAGAGCTTTAAATAAAACCTCGTAGAAGTATACATTTAAGGTAATAAATTTCATCATGGGAAATCACTCAGCATTAGCTGTTATCTGTATTCGTAGTATAGGATCTTACCATGATAAGGAAGGCTCGGCAGTCTTATCGCCTAATGTAAAACAGTTGCCACTGTTCTTGTATGTGTTGATTTTAAAGTGAGCTGGATAACAGGCATCCTTAGGCAATATATATATATGTATATATATATATATATATATATATATATATATATATATATATATATATATATATATATATATATATATATATAAACATGTACAATTATGTATACATAAGTCGCTATAATCGTATGTACTACATAATCGCATATTACTATAATTGACTTACTGAGTCAAACGAACATCGAAGCATCATGTCGTTCAGAGAGTGACCTAAACTCTGCTTCTCCTCTGTCGGGTAGTTCTCGATCCTCATCAGGAGTAGCTGCACTTGTTCATCGACCGTCAGGTTTTTCTATGAGAGAATGTAAAATGTATAATTTAGGGTCAGTTAACTAAAGTATTGCACCTGGTATGCATTAGTCTAGTCGTTTCTCTTGATTTCGGTGCGTGGATAGATTTTATTGTAATTTCGATAGTTGTAAAATACACATTAAAATAAATCCCACTAGCGTGCTATTGCTGAGTCCCAGTGCCCCAGTGGGTCTCTAAGAAATTTTTAGTGTAGCTCTTGATCTTAAAACATACACCCCCTCCCACTCACAGAAACACAAAACTGGGCCTGTTATATTCTTTTATCCCATAAATTATGAAATATATAATTCTAAGAATCGTTTTCTGCATTGACTGAAACCCAGACGTAACACATTGTTAAACAATATATTTAGAAAGAGAAAGAAAGGGGAAATGTTGTTTGGCTTCATTGCTAAAATCTATGTTTCTGGAGATAAACATTATTTGTATTATTTAAATGTTTATTTGTAATTAGCTGTAATTAAAAAAAATGTAGACTTATATTTTATTGCAAAGTCCCGGGTTATTGTAACTATAAGTAGGTACTTATGTATTATAATTAAAATACAATCGTATGACAAGGTAGAGAATACAATGTTATGGGAGATGTGGCGACAGGAAACAATAGAAAGGCAAATGGTGGAGAAGAAATAGCGATGGGTCTAGGCACATGCTTAGGAAGGACACTGGCAATAGAGCTAGACAGGCCTTGAGCTGGAATTCCAAGGGCAAGCGACACAGGGGTGACCCAGGAACACAGGGCGACGCAGGGGTCGACCCAGGAACACAGGGCGACGCAGGGGTCGACCCAGGAACACAGGGCGACGCAGGGGTCGACCAAGGGAGACATGGCGACGCAGGGGTCGACCAAGGGAGACATGGCGACGCAGGGGTCGACCAAGGAAGAAATGCCGACACAGGGGTCGACCCTGGAACACAGGGCGGAGCAGGGGTCGACTCATAAAGACGTAGCGACATAACTTGCTAAGTGAGGCCGAAAGGATAGGATAGGAAGGAATCGGGAACAGCTATAACGAGTTTCAATAGAACACACACGGTGTAAATCTTTGACAGAGACCGTATGTTAGCGAGGGACGAAAAAAAAAATAATGATGTTGATTGTGCTTTGTTGACCTCAAACACAATAACTTTTGAATCAAATGACACAAACATTAATTTCATTGAAATATAATGTCATTCTTTTAAGACATTTTTATTATCCCAGACACCACTTTGCTATGAAAAAACGTCAATAACCTAAGAAGGTTAACATTTGGTGATACCTGATATTTTACTTCCTGGATGGATTCGTGTATTTCAAAAAGCATATTTTCAATTTTGTTTTCAGGTTTACCGTGTTAAAGTTTAAGTCTTTAATCGAGATAAATTAAATGGCTGACGTGAAACACATCACTTAAAAATAGAAACAAAATATAGGGGGGGGGGCTATATCACTGTAGGAAACAAACGTTATCCATTTTGAAAAAAAAATCATCTGAAATAAGATTGAAACAAAAATATGTGCTTGAAAATCAAGATGAATAAGATATATTCATAAACACGCAACTCCACAAATCCTTTATTTAACGAGATCGTGGCTGTTTTCAATAGGCCGACGCGCGTTTAACAGATTATGTTATCATTTTTTATTGACACTCACACTAAATAAATTATCAAGTTCATACACAGGACATCCTGCCTATCCGTTCACATGTTTATAATTTTTAAATATTTTTATACAGTAATTGTTTTTTTTAATTTGAGATAGACGAATAATGCAATAGATACGACATACATTATCGTATAAAACATATGCTTGATAAACAAATGTACAATGTTGGTTTTGATTTCTGTAGAAATAACTAAAGTCTATTTACACGATACTGTCGTGACTTTATGCTTTAACAAAATGCAGGAACGTTAGGACTCAAGGTTCCTAAAATGTTGATACAAGTAGGACGCTTAGGACTCAAGGTTCCTAAAATGTTGATACAAGTAGGACGCTTAGGACACAAGGTTCCTAAAATGTTGATACAAGTAGGACGCTTAGGACTCAAGGTTCCTAAAATGTTGATACAAGTAGGACGCTTAGGACTCAAGGTTCCTAAAATGTTGATACAAGTAGGACGCTTAGGACTCAAGGTTCCTAAAATGTTGATACAAGTAGGACGCTTAGGACACAAGGTTCCTAAAATGTTGATACAAGTAGGACGCTTAGGACTCAAGGTTCCTAAAATGTTGATACAAGTAGGACGCTTAGGACTCAAGGTTCCTAAAATGTTGATACAAGTAGGACGCCTTAGGACTCAAGGTTCCTAAAATGTTGATACAAGTAGGACGCTTAGGACTCAAGGTTCCTAAAATGTTGATACAAGTAGGACGCCTTAGGACTCAAGGTTCCTAAAATGTTGATACAAATAGGACGCTTTAGGACTCAAGGTTCCTAAAATGTTGATACAAGTAGGACGCTTAGGACTCAAGGTTCCTAAAATGTTGATACAAGTAGGACGCTTAGGACTCAAGGTTCCTAAAATGTTGATACAAGTAGGACGCCTTAGGACTCAAGGTTCCTAAAATGTTGATACAAGTAGGACGCTTAGGACTCAAGGTTCCTAAAATGTTGATACAAGTAGGACGCCTTAGGACTCAAGGTTCCTAAAATGTTGATACAAGTAGGACGCTTAGGACTCAAGGTTCCTAAAATGTTGATACAAGTAGGACGCCTTAGGACTCAAGGTTCCTAAAATGTTGATACAAGTAGGACGCTTAGGACTCAAGGTTCCTAAAATGTTGATACAAGTAGGACGCCTTAGGACTCAAGGTTCCTAAAATGTTGATACAAGTAGGACGCTTAGGACACAAGGTTCCTAAAATGTTGATACAAGTAGGACGCTTAGGACTCAAGGTTCCTAAAATGTTGATACAAGTAGGACGCCTTAGGACTCAAGGTTCCTAAAATGTTGATACAAGTAGGACGCTTAGGACTCAAGGTTCCTAAAATGTTGATACAAGTAGGACGCTTAGGACTCAAGGTTCCTAAAATGTTGATACAAGTAGGACGCTTAGGACTCAAGGTTCCTAAAATGTTGATACAAGTAGGACGCTTAGGACTCAATGTTCCTAAAATGTTGATACAAGTAGGACGCTTTAGGACTCAAGGTTCCTAAAATGTTGATACAAGTAGGACGCCTTAGGACTCAAGGTTCCTAAAATGTTGATACAAGTAGGACGCTTAGGACTCAAGGTTCCTAAAATGTTGATACAAGTAGGACGCCTTAGGACTCAAGGTTCCTAAAATGTTGATACAAGTAGGACGCCTTAGGACACAAGGTTCCTAAAATGTTGATACAAGTAGGACGCTTAGGACTCAATGTTCCTAAAATGTTGATACAAGTAGGACGCTTAGGACACAAGGTTCCTAAAATGTTGATACAAGTAGGACGCTTAGGACTCAAGGTTCCTAAAATGTTGATACAAGAAGGACGCTTAGGACTCAAGGTTCCTAAAATGTTGATACAAGTAGGACGCTTAGGACTCAAGGTTCCTAAAATGTTGATACAAGTAGGACGCCTTAGGACTCAAGGTTCTTAAAATGTTGATACAAGTAGGACGCTTAGGACTCAAGGTTCCTAAAATGTTGATACAAGTAGGACGCCTTAGGACACAAGGTTCCTAAAATGTTCATACAAGTAGGACGCTTAGGACTCAATGTTCCTAAAATGTTGATACAAGTAGGACGCTTAGGACACAAGGTTCCTAAAATGTTGATACAAGTAGGACGCTTAGGACTCAAGGTTCCTAAAATGTTGATACAAGTAGGACGCCTTAGGACTCAAGGTTCCTAAAATGTTGATACAAGTAGGACGCTTAGGACTCAAGGTTCCTAAAATGTTGATACAAGTAGGACGCTTAGGACTCAAGGTTCCTAAAATGTTGATACAAGTAGGACGCCTTAGGACTCAAGGTTCCTAAAATGTTGATACAAGTAGGACGCTTAGGACTCAAGGTTCCTAAAATGTTGATACAAGTAGGACGCCTTAGGACACAAGGTTCCTAAAATGTTGATACAAGTAGGACGCCTTAGGACACAAGGTTCCTAAAATGTTGATACAAGTAGGACGCTTAGGACTCAATGTTCCTAAAATGTTGATACAAGTAGGACGCTTAGGACTCAAGGTTCCTAAAATGTTGATACAAGTAGGACGCTTAGGACTCAAGGTTCCTAAAATGTTGATACAAGTAGGACGCCTTAGGACTCAAGGTTCCTAAAATGTTGATACAAGTAGGACGCTTAGGACTCAAGGTTCCTAAAATGTTGATACAAGTAGGACGCTTAGGACTCAAGGTTCCTAAAATGTTGATACAAGTAGGACGCTTAGGACTCAAGGTTCCTAAAATGTTGATACAAGTAGGACGCCTTAGGACTCAAGGTTCCTAAAATGTTGATACAAGTAGGACGCTTAGGACTCAAGGTTCCTAAAATGTTGATACAAGTAGGACGCCTTAGGACACAAGGTTCCTAAAATGTTGATACAAGTAGGACGCTTAGGACTCAATGTTCCTAAAATGTTGATACAAGTAGGACGCTTAGGACTCAAGGTTCCTAAAATGTTGATACAAGTAGGACGCTTAGGACTCAAGGTTCCTAAAATGTTGATACAAGTAGGACGCTTAGGACTCAAGGTTCCTAAAATGTTGATACAAGTAGGACGCTTAGGACACAAGGTTCCTAAAATGTTGATACAAGTAGGACGCTTAGGACTCAATGTTCCTAAAATGTTGATACAAGTAGGACGCTTAGGACACAAGGTTCCTAAAATGTTGATACAAGTAGGACGCTTAGGACTCAAGGTTCCTAAAATGTTGATACAAGTAGGACGCCTTAGGACTCAAGGTTCCTAAAATGTTGATACAAGTAGGAAGCCTTAGGACTCAAGGTTCCTAAAATGTTGATACAAGTAGGACGCTTAGGACACAAGGTTCCTAAAATGTTGATACAAGTAGGACGCCTTAGGACTCAAGGTTCCTAAAATGTTGATACAAGTAGGACGCTTAGGACTCAAGGTTCCTAAAATGTTGATACAAGTAGGACGCCTTAGGACTCAAGGTTCCTAAAATGTTGATACAAGTAGGACGCTTAGGACTCAAGGTTCCTAAAATGTTGATACAAGTAGGACGCTTAGGACACAAGGTTCCTAAAATGTTGATACAAGTAGGACGCTTAGGACTCAAGGTTCCTAAAATGTTGATACAAGTAGGACGCTTAGGACTCAAGGTTCCTAAAATGTTGATACAAGTAGGACGCTTAGGACTCAAGGTTCCTAAAATGTTGATACAAGTAGGACGCTTAGGACA